TATTTAATATAAAATTGTAAGTATATTAAATTGAATTGAATATATATTACAATTAATAATTAATCGGTATATTATTTGTATCTTTTTATATCGATATTCAAATTAATCTCATCATTTTTAGATTAATATAAAATAAAAAATCAATCAAAAGAAAATATTGCTTTAATTTTTTTTCATTTTTATTTTTTTCCATTTTTTTTTTTTATCAATTTAAATCTTATCCGAAGATTTTAGAAAGAAATTAATCTATTTAATAAAAAATTATAAATGAGGAATATATTGAATCTTCCTATTTTTCATTTCTCAATATATTGGTCTTTCGAGTATGAGTCAACTCGTGTTTGGTGCTCACTCATTCGACCCTGAGTGAAAGATTCACTGAATGAACTCTAAAGATAGAGACCCTCTTATATCCTTTCATCCTCATCTTCTTTTTTCCGTTCGTTCCTCGCATAAGTACTTTTTCTTTCTTTCTCTTTTTATTTTTTTTTTATTCTTCTCTGTTTCCTTTTCTTTTTTATTTTTTTTCTTTTATTATTACTTTTTCTAATAATGTTTCAATCAAACACTCTTTTCTAACAATTTTTTTTTTTTCTATCTTTCTTGTTAATTTTTCTAGCAGTATAATAGGAATATAATTAATTCATTAAACATTTGGCTTTAATTTTTTAAATTAGAATTTTTATGTGTTTAATGTACAAATATTTGGGGAATATTTCTAACAAATATTATTTAAAGTTTGTTGCGCTTTAAATTAATCAAAATAAAATAGATGAATAATTGAAAATAATAAAAAATTATTTATGGAATGAAAATAATATAGTTTAAAAATTGATTATAAAATATATATAATTGATAAATATAATTTTAATTAATATAAATATAATTGATAAACTGATAATTAGGACGAATATTTTTTATAATATATATATATCTATCTTTTATTGATTCTATATAAATAATCATATCTTTTTTTAGATAATAATAATTTAAGAAAATTTCAAATTTTTTTATTTGATTTTATAATATATATATGTATACATATACATATATACGTATACATATACATATAATTATTTGAAGTGAAAAATCAACAAGAATCGTGTTACGTATCATCTTATTTATCAATTGTAAAAATTTATATAAACGGATTAATAAGAACGATAGTTAAAAATAAATATTATAATTAAGGTTTTATATTGAAATCTATAAGTAAAAAATGAAATTTAAATTGTTGCATTTATGTGCACAAAATAATACACACAATACAAAAATAAGACTTACATTTAAAATATTTTTTCTTCTTTTTTTGTACTACTTGTATTTTTATTTTCTATATTCTTCAATGTATCAAGCTCTTCACAACACTTTTTTTAACTTCTTTCTTTCTATGAATTTCTTTTTTTCTCTTTTTTCTTTCTTTGCACTCCCGTTTATTTTCCTTTCACAACTTATTTTTCAGGATATTATTTCACTTTTTATATGTACATTTTTCTCATACTTTCTTTTATAATTTTATTTTTTTTATAATAAATAACTATTTTTTTTTCATTTCCATTCTTTTCTTTCTTTTTCTTCTTTCTCTTCTTCTTTTGCTT